GGGGGACTGTGGCAGACTGCGAAAAGTCGGCGATCAGAACCTGCTCATCGCCCTCTGCTTGCCGGGGGCGTAGCGCTACAATGGCTGACAAAAAACCGAAGGAAAAACGACGAAGATACCGGTCAACAACGGAGTCGCTAACCGTTCTGAACGGAAGAGGCAGACAGCACGACGCCATTATAGCACGCCAGAAAAGGGTCAACGAGAAAGACACCACTAGTGGGAGCTAAAAGTCGGAAATTGGAGCATATCCTCACTCAGAGGAAAAGAACAAGAATTGGTTGATGAAGCCATAAAGGATCAACTCGACATTGCTGGACTCTCCTCAACAAAACGCCAAGATTTTGGACTCCTGAACCTCGACGGATGGAAGCTATTCTACTCAGGCGTCGATATCACGACTCGCGCTCAGGCCGGTGTGGCTGTTGTGGTACAACCCAACCTTGCCGATAGATTATTGATTGGAAGCCTGTCGACGGAAGGGTGGTAATCCTCTGACTGAAGCTACAACAGGCTAAAACGATGACCTTGGTACAGGTCTGTGCGCCCAGTTTGTAGGGTGAAATTGATACCTTCCTTGAGGAACTGAAGTGTGCCGTCTACGAAGTCCCGAATACAGAGACCCTCATACTCATGGGCGATTTCAATGCGCATGTCGGAGTAAACGCTGAAAAGTGGAACATCGTAATTGGAAAAAACGGCCCCAGCGACCTCAGCATTACCGGCATGAAGTTGTTGCGGATTTTTGTAAACAATGGATTGTCCATTATGAACACCTTCTACGAGCATCGAAGAGTGGATCAGTACACGTGGTACAGGGAGGCTTGTGCAAAAGGGTCGATTATCGATTTGATAATCGTATCGTCTGACTTAAGGCGCTCGGTAATGGATGTGCGCGTTAAGATTGGCGCAGAGCTATCAACGGATTACCACCACGTTGTTGGCACTCTACGCTAAAAGAGACGGAGTATCATGCCATTGTCTGGTTGCAGACGCAACCAGAGAACCAAATGTTAAATATAGTCTTCAGAGGATATAAGGGACTCTGACCAACAACGTCGAACGATGGTTTGAACAGATCACGCTGATGACCACTAATGTGGAAACCGATTGAGAACTGTTTACGAGCGGCATACTCGAGGGTGCCGCCGAATGCTGCGGATTTAAATGGGTAGATCTGCTGTTTGGAGGTCAAAAAAGAAGTTCCTGGTGGACACGAGAGGTACAACCTTCAGTTCAAGAAAAAATGGCTGCATTCAGGAAATGGCTTGAAAGCATAGAATCTTCTAGTGACATACGTGACATACGATATGTCGAAGCGCATAAGGAAGCAACGAAAACAGTACAGAAGGCTGACGGTGATTTCTGGGAATAGTTCAGTGAGGTGTTATAGAAGAATTTCTAAACGACAAAGGTATTCTGGCAAACCATTCACTGGCTCCGAGGTGATAAGAAAGACAGTCTAAGTGTCTTGAAAGACAGGGCTGAGACACTCGTACCGAGGATGACTTTCTTCGGCGATGGAGAGAGTACCATGAAGAACTCATTAACTGTATGCAAACGCAGGAACACTCGCCTCTTGAGCAGGAGGGAACGGATATTACTGTTACTGTAGTTGACATTGCACAAGCTGTGAAAGCTTGAAAAGTGGGAAGGCTGCAGGAATTGATGATATCTGCCCGGAAATGTTCAAAGCATTAGGCAAACAAAGCATGTGCTGGCTTACACATGTCTGTCGAACTGCAATGGTCGCTATGAAGACACCCGTGAATTGGAGAACGGGGGTTGTTGCACCCCCTGTTGAAGAAGTGAGACCACAGAAAAGGTCCAATTATCCGGGCAATAACTTACTGAGACTCACGGGTAAGTGCGCGCAAAGGAGCTAGGAAGGAGTAGCGTGGAATACCTGACTCAAATGTAGAAGAAGAACAGTTTTGCTTCCGGCCCAATCGAAGCACCGCTGGCTAAAAGGTTGCCCTAACGGATTATTGAGAAATCGTGGAAGTTCGTCCGGTGTACCTGAGCTTAGTTGACTTAGAGGAAACCTATGACCAGATCCCACGCAACAATCTTCAGACAAGCCAGCTAACAAATGGATCGATGGCCAGTTGCTACGGGTCATCCAAAAACTAGATGCTGATTGCAGGCGCTGCGTCAGAGTAAATGATGCTTAGCCGAAACCATTCAGCGTTAGCACTGGTCTCTGCTCAGGCTGCGTTCTCTCCTCTCTCTCTCGCTTGTTTTTTGCGTTAATAGAATAGTCAGGCGCAGCCAAGACGACGAGTATGTCGGTAGAGAAGATGTCGGGGCGAGAAGGTTGCTGTTTGCCGACGACCCTGTTTTATTGGCATCTTCTGAAAGTTATCTAGAGCTTTCTCTGAAGAGTATTGCAGCTGAGTGCTAAATGACCAGCATGGTGTGAACGTATGTAAAACGAAAAGTCTAGGACTTTCTCGTTCTCTTATCAGTTGCTCTCTTCAGATTAACGGAGAGGCTGCGGAGCAGGTGGAGAAGTTCAGGTACATCGGAGGCGTATTTACTAGTGACGGAAAATTTGAGGAAGAGATCGAACTGCGTATTTGAGTATCCAGTAACGTTTTGTGTCAACTAACCTGATCTGCTGTGACTAAAGCAGAGCTCAGTCTGAAAACTAAGCTCTGGGTGTTGAAGTCGATCTTTATCCCCGTGCTTACCTACGTCATGAATCGTGCACCATCACTGAAAAACTTCGAACCCGGGTACAAGCTGCTGAAATGGGCTTTCTTAG